CAGAGAAGGGGGTGGAGAGCAGGAGGAAAGAGAGAAGGCTAAGAATCTGGGAGTGCCTCCTGGGCACTTTGCGTGTTTATTTAGACATCCTCATGTTGACCTTATCACGTAGGCACTGCGTTTTCTATTGCTTTTCAGATGAAGAACTAGGATTTAAAGAAAATACAGAATTTGCCCCTAAGGTCACACATCGGCAGAATCGATTCCAAGTCTGTCGAACTTGAAGCTGTGCTCCCAGGGCTGCTTGATTCCCCTCACCCGCCCCCCAGCTTTATTTCTCTGTAAATCTCGTAGCTATTTGTCTTTGCTTTCAGATGACGAAGGTTACACGGTCTGGGACAGCTTTGCCAAGAAATTCAAAATATTCGGGGACCCACTTACGTCCCAGCAGGCCCCGAGTTGAAGCAGTCACTGTGACCGAAACTTGGAGGCCAGATTGATTCTAAATTCTGAAAGCTCCAGGCTGAAAAGTAGGGCCCTGCCTGTTTCTTGTCAGAATGTCCTGGGGACTCTTTGTTTTAGATCCCAGTGATCTGAAGATGTGTAGGCTGCTCCATTTTTACCATCACAGAGAGAGAACTTCGTAGAATTGCTAGGAAATAGAGCCAGCTCTCTACGTCCGGGGAATTTTCCAGTGTGTTCTTGCCAGAGAGGGAGCCTGAGCTCCCGTTACAGGGTGAAGCGAAAGGGATTTGCCAAGCACTCCATTCAGAGCTGTGTGCCGGGCAACCACTCGCTGTGGGGGACCAGCTTTTGTGCTTCCAAAAGGCTCGTGGAAGTAGCCAAGGTTCCCTGACCAGAAATGTTGGCTTTTGCAAAGTTTTGGCTGGTCGAGAATCTCGCCCGAAAAGGTTTGGTCTAGCTTCAGCATCCGGGGCAGGCAGAACCAGTGAAGCAACATTGTCTCGAGGGCAAGGCCTTCTGCTTGGCATCTGGTCGCTGAGGTCATTTTACTCGTCAGTGGCTGGTGGCCCAAGCAGAGGCTGGTGCACGAATTCATGACATGAACTTAAGAAAGAATCCTCCGTTGGCTGCACACTTGATCCCTCAGAGCTGTTGCACTTGTTTGACCCAACTCAGCCCTGGGCATTGGGCAAGTCAGTGGTGAGGAAAGGAACTCAAGTGTCCACACTGGAATTCAGCTGCAACGCCAGGGACAGACATCTACACCAAGCCATCGAAAAGTCAACAACAACGACAACAACAACAAAACAAAAAATAACCCCATACAACCAACGCTAGCAACGTCCCTTCCCCCAACCTAACCCCAAAAAGTGTTCAAGGAAAATACAAGTGTTGCTTCCTTGGTCTGGTGGTGGAAAGGTAGAACTGCGTTTTTCACTTCCGGTGTCTCTGCACGCACTCTACCCTCTACTTGTAAGCCCGTTACCCTCCACTGACCAGCATCTACATTTACCTCCGGGTCACAGACCTAGAGATGGTGGCAGACTTGCAATTGGTGCGTTCAATCTACATAATCCCCTAGCTCCTTATGTTTATCCTTCTCACTTAACTTCTTTTAACTTTTCTTTTTTTTTAAGATTTTTTATTTATTTATTTGAGAGAGAGAGTATGAGCAGGGGGAGGGGCATAGGGAGAAACAGACGCCCCCACTGAGCAGGGACCCTGGGATCCTGACCTGAGCCGAAGGCAAATGCTTAACCAACTGAGCCACCCAGGCGCCCTTCTTTAAACTTATTTTGAAATAGTTATAGACTCACCAGAAGTTGCAAAACATTTCAAATTGAATCATAATTTACCTGAGGGAAGAGCTGTAGACTTACTTACTCTGTCTCCCTTTCCTAGAAGTCTCTTGGCCCTGTGGCGGACACCACCTGAGCAAAGGAGTAATTGGATAGGAGACCGGAAATTTATGAACCCTTGGGGTCTAACTTTCTTGGAAGCAGAATGACTTTCTATGTATATACGCATATGCATAGAAGTATACTTTTATCATGTCATCAGAAGATCAAGTTTAAAAGGTAGAGAGCTCTCTTTAAATATCCAAGTTTTGGGGCGCCTGGGTGGCTCAGTCGTTAAGCGTCTGCCTTCGGCTCAGGTCAGGATCTCAGGGTCCTGGGATAGAGCCCCGCACAGGCCTCCCTGCTCCGCGGGAAGCCTGCTTCTCCCTCTCCCACTCCCCTTGCTTGTGTTCCCTCTCTCGCTGTGTCTCTCTCTGTCAAATAAATAAATAAAATCTTAATAAATAAATAAATATCCAAGCTTTTCATTATGTTTTTATCATTGCGGAGCCTCATAGGGAATGAATTCTATTTTCCCTTTTTATTGTCGTACTTGTGACACCTGACACTGGCCTCTTTCCAGCTTGTGAAAATACCAGTTGTTTCTGCTAACCCTCAGATAAGAACTCAAATAGAAATTCATTTTGATAAATCTCCCCGGGGCCTTCCACATCCAGCGAAGGAGTAATGGATCAAAATTCAACCTGAAAATAATTTTAAAAGGAAAAAACGACTTTGATTTTCATTTGCAACAGAGCAATAAGGCAAGGCAGCACCCTGACAAGAGGAAGTTACCAGATAAAGAAAATCTAACGAGATCCAAGTTGTGTGCTTAAACAGTCTTTAAACTCTGGAGAAGAGCCTCTCGTGAAGGGTTACCAGATAACTGGTTTATTCAAAGACTCTCACATACAACTCACCTGGCATTTCCTGTGTGAGGCCTAGGGCATCCAGGTTTTGTTTCTGGATGAGAAGATGGACTGCCCACCCCACCCTGGGGGAGGACATGGGGGGCTGGTGTAGCAGAGCCTGGAGCCTTGTCCCTTCACTGCCCGCACTGCCCACTGAAGGGGTCAGCCCGGAACCCCAAGTCTGGAAGGTAAGAAGAGCAAGTAAAGGCTGACAGAAGGTTGGACGGCCCTGAACTCTCCTTGTGCTGGGGGGTGGGGAGGTGGACTGAGAGCCCAAGAAAGGACCTTTCCTAACACTCAACATAGACTACCAAGATGTATAGATATATTTCAGGGAAAAATGTTTGTGACTATAAAAGCAATATATACTCATTTCAAAGAAGTTGGAAAGTTAAAATAAGCGTAAAAGGACAAAAATCTCTTGTAATTCTACCATCCAGAAATAGCCACCGTTAACTTTTTAGTATATTTCTTTCCAGTTTTTATGTGTGTGTGTTTACTTATATAAACATATTAATATGGGATACAAAGTTGGACCCACGCTACACATATAGTTTGGGATCCTGCTTTCTTCTGTATCCTAAAATAATCTTGACTGTAAATAACACCAGCTGTACAATATTCCATCATATGGATATACCATTTGTTCATTCATTCTCCTATTTTTATCATTTTATTGCTTCCCACATTTTTAATGATAGATGATGCTGTAAGGAAAAATATCCTTGCTCATAAATCTATCCTCGTTCATAAATCTATTTCTTTGCTCTTCTCTGATTCTTCCCTCAAAGTTGATTTCTGGAAGTAGAATTACCAGGTGAAAGGAAGAACCATGTTTTTGGCTCTTGCTGCATGTTATATGCTAAGCGGCATTGCATGAAATTTGCACAAGTCACCTTTCCCGTGTGTCCCACAATCACACACAAAGTGTGTGCAAGAAGCTATGTGCCAACACGAACGTGCCCAACTTACAAAATAATTAGTGGCACAGGGGCTTTGACTGATTCCTCACATAGTGTAGCAAGATCAGAAGGGATGGGGAAATTTGCAAGACTTATAAAAAATAACCTAACAAGTACCGCAGTAGTACCTTTGCGCAAATTAGGAAAGTCACATCTTCCTCAAGACACTTTGCTGCCATCTGCCAGAAAATCATCACCCGAAACATCAAATCTATGCCGGCTGCAATGGAACCAGAGGCCCATGGAACTGTGCAGGGCACAGTTGGTGCTCCTGAGAGGTCTGTCACAGCAGGTCAGCTACGCAACAGAACCCCAGCCACGCTCCCACGCACACGCTCCTCCATCTCCTCCCTTCCTACCACCGGCTGCCTGCAACAGCCCGCCCCACCCCACCCCCACCATCCACAAGAAAATCCCTCAGTCTCCTAGACCAGAAAGCACCCAGAGGCAAGAAATAAATGGTGGGGGTCACTGCCTTTGGCAAACAGATTCGCTAAGTTTATACACAGTGAGAAGGTCAGGGTGGAAGGTGATGCACCCAGACTCCTGCAGATGTCAGCCAATGTAGCCAAGACCCACTGGGGGTGGGGGTACGGGGCAGGGGAAGCTCCCCAGGTCCACTCTCAAATGCTGCCAGATCTGGACAAATTCCTTATAAGGCCTCCGTTTTCCACATGCAATTCTGTAACTTTTGCTTTTGAGCTTCCAGTGGAAATCCTAATGCAGGTGACGTTCCTCAAACTAACCTGGGGTTCTGATGAAGCACCAAACACATCCCAAAGGCCCACTGTTTCCATTTGAAAATCAGAGCCCGGGGCTGTGAGGCAGCCAGCCAAAGAGCGTGGGCCTCGGAGAAAGACTGCTATTCCCCACAGCCCCTCCATACCCCTCTTTTTGGAACTTCCCCTTGGGAAGTCTGGAGAGAAGCTGGGAGGGCAGCCAGAGCCAGGGTGAGCTGCTGTCCCAAGCACTTACCCATGTTTTGGCAGTTTGTGGCAATAACCAATCCTCTCTCCTCTATATCTAATGAGGAGAAAATTAGAAAAAAAAAAAAAAAATGATGCATAGTAAAGAATTTGAACTTGCCCGGAAAGAGGTCTGACCTTTGCCCTCAGCCTCTGGGAAGTAATCTATGTCATACCTGATAGGAGTATCTTTCCTTAGGACAGGTGTTGGACACACCTGATAGTTTTAGGGGCGAGCTGGCCATGTCAGAAAGACCATGTGATTTAGGGTCAGGGCTCTGGGTCGCTTGTTATCAGTCAACCTAGAGACTGAGTTCAACCACGTGGGTGATCAATCAATCACGCCTACATAATAAAGCCCCAGTAAAAACTAAGATGAGCTTCTCTGGTGGGCAATATTCAATGCATATTGTCACATACCAATACCGGGAGGGTAATGCATCCTGATTCCATGGAGAGAGAAGGCAATGGAAGTTTGGCATTTGGAACACTCCAGACTCTGCCCTCTGTGTCTCTTCCTTTGAATGATTTCATTCTGCATCCTTACCCTGTAATAAACCATAACAGCTTTCAGTGAGTTCTGTGGGTCCTTCTAGCAGAGCATCAAACCTGAGGGTGGTTTTGGCAAGCCCCCCAAACTCGCAGTCGGTGTCCAAAGTGAGGGCAGACTTGGCAACTGCGCCTTCAAACTCTGCAGTTTGGTTAACTTTGGGCAAATGGGCTGAAAACAAAGTATGATGTGATCTGGGTTACCCCAAAAGGAAACTTTATTTTATGACAAAATTGCCAAATTCTGAAAACGAGGTTATAAAGCCATCTCGCGAGACCTGCCAAAACATTCTCCTCTTCGAACAAAAGTGTGGTCAGTTCCGACCACAAGCAGAGGGCCAGGCCCTCGAATCCGGGGAGTCTCATCCTGGGGTGGAACTGTCTCCATGCTTAACCCTCCAGAGGTTTCCCATCACAATGAGAATGAAATCCAAGTTTCTTAGCTGATGTGTGTGTGTGTGTGCATGATTCCCCAACTAAACTGTCAATCTAGGTCAGTGGTCATCACATCATAGGCACACTATAAATGTTGGCTGAATAAATGAATGGCTCGAAAAAAGGGAATATAAAAATGTTTATTTTGCCAGCAAGATTTTATTTCTGGCTTATCTTTTCATTATTATTTTTTTATTGGGATATAACTCACATACCATAAAATTCAGTCTTTCACAACTGAGAGGTTTCTCGTACATTCACAAAATGGTGTGACCATCACCACTATTTAATTTATCTGGCTTACTTCGAATCCCTGTTCCTCCTTCCTCTCCCCCATGGGATTCTGACGAGGGCTGCCAACCACAACACCCCATGCGCATCCAACCATCAGGAGGGCATGGGGCCCAGGTGAGGCCGAATTTCTCCCCAGCACTTTCCAACAGAAACTAAGAAAGGCCTTCCGTCTCCGCTGGGGAAGCTGTGCAGAATGAACATGGAGCTGGCAGGGCCCAGATCCCTTGCCGTGTGGAAGCAGCTTGCCCATGAGAGATGAGAATAAATCTGACAGAGAGGGAGAGAGAGAGAGAGAACACTGGGCTGGTGGTTCTTGAGGCCAATCCCACTACCCCCACTTCCCACAGTTCGGTTACATAAGCTAATGATTCCCTTGGGCCCTAACTAGTTCCAGTGGCTTTCTGTAACTTGGAGCCTCAGGTGTTCCTCAGGACAATACAGTCCTTGTCCAGCTCACACCTTCCCTCAACACACATTTATTAAGTATTTACCGTGTGCAGGGCCCTGGAGCACATAATCCTGGGGCGCCATGGCAGGTGTGGGGAATGCAATGAGAGAGAAACGTGCAGAGCCAAGCATGTCACCTGTCAGTGGGGCAAGGCAGACCTTGGGAGGAAATGACATCTAAGATAAGGCCTGAAGTTAGAGAGGAATAAGTATCAGAAGGCGGGTACACAGGACACTAAGGGGCATCAGAAGAGGTTCCCGGTGGCAGGAAAGGTAGGGGAAGCTCCGAGAAGGACATGACACTTGAAGTAAGCCTTAAAGGATGGGCAAGACGCAGATATTTAGAGAAAGGGCACAAGAGCATTTCACAGAGGAAACAGGGAGTGAAGGCAGACACAGGACCCAGGGAGAAATTAACGGGAATCTGTGATGCACAGAGGGAAGAGGTAGGAATTACGCTGCAAAGGTGGGTTGGGAGTTCACAGTAGGCGAAGCCCTGCAGGTGTAGGCCCAGGGCAGCTGCGTGCTCAGCTCTGAGCTGTGTGACAAGCAACAGAATGTGAGATGAAGAGATGGGTGTGTTGGGGACAGAGAAACCAGTTTGGCGCCTATTCCGACAGCCCACAGAGCAAGACGATCTGACCCAGCAGCAGGGGAAATCGATGCCAACATACGTGGGCACCACTGAAAAGGTAGAAATGATCAGATGTAACGTTGTGATGGGAAGTAGAGGAGAAAGAGGAACCAAACGTGATAACCACGGGGATACTCGCACTAAGGGTGAGGGCCACTAGTGGCCACCAGCCCCGCCCTGGGCCAAGCCCTTTGCGTGCACTTTCAGATCTCATCTCCACAATGCCAGGACGCGGGTCCTATTATCACCCCCTTCTAGAGTCCAGGGAACTGAGGAACCGATGAAGTAATTTGCATCAACACCACCTGAATGACACTTGAAGGAATCAAGCAGAGGCTTGGTAAAGGACGAGGTCATTTTTGCATAGACTGAGTGTAAGCTGCCCATCTGGGGGAAGCCCAGCCTTGAACTTCGGTTTGACGTGTCCTTGCCAGACGGCAATAGCCTACGTTTTCTTCACGAGTACACAACAAAGGGCAAAATCCCAGGGTTTCTTAAATGGGGATACATTATTTTGACCGCTCCCCCCATCTACCGTGCCTGTCACTCTGTGACAGAAGGAAATGAGCTTTATCCGATAAGCTTTGTTTTTCACAAAGCAATGTGCCATGATTACCCAGGACCCTGTGGTCTTCTAGGTGTTTGCAAATTGATTTTTTGATTATTTGTTCCAGTGATTTTCCAAGTATTCTGTGTTTTTCCAAGTTATTCAGCTTTAGAACGTGGGTGTGTTAAATTTTGTATTTGCCTTCCCTTTCCTGTATTAAGTTTTAATGCTGTGATTATTTAAGATACTTTTTGCATGCAGCTTATATCTCTGAGGGAACATAGTTACAAATCTCTAGGACTATAAATACACACGTGGATGGGCATACAGCAATCTTCATGCACACTCCCTCAGACTTTATGACCATATGCAAAAATGGAAGCATATCGAGAACCTGTGACTAGTTCAAATATCCCAAATAAAGATCCTCACTGTCTAGAAATGTTTATATGGTGAATTAAAAAAAAACCTCAAAATTTGTTATGACTATATTCATGTAGCTATTCGGTGAACACTGACCAAAAGCCAGATACAACAAAATTTTAAAATTCATGTTTTCTGCACCCAAGCCCCTTCCCTGAAGCCAGGATTTGGAGAGAGTGGTGTCTGGCCAGGACACCATGCAGAGACTCCATTTTTTATGGGTAAATTGAAAGTCCAATACCAAGGAATCAGAGGAATAAAATCCCAGACCCATGACTTCATGACTAAAATGAGGGGCTCAATTAAATAACTGCTAAGTACCTTTGCAGCCCAAATAGTCATTGAATCTAAAGACTGATTATGAGAATGATTAATAAAAATTATGGCAAAATGTTTTGCAAAAATGCAAGGCTATGAGAATGCCGAATATAACTCAACCATTTCCCCAAAAAGTTAAACTCTTTCATTTTCTTAAGCATGTCTTTAGAAATATCTACTATGCTCTGAGTCTCAAGTATCATAGGCATCTAAAGAAAGCTTTTGTCAAATCCGTGAGCCCCAAAATCTATTTTATGAAAATGAATTATTCATAGGCTGAGTACATTTGACAGCCTTCATGTGAATAGAACTCACCTGCTAGATAAAAGCAAATTTTGAAGGAAACAAATAAACAAAAAAAACACAACTCCTCACTGGCAGCCCGCTCTATCAGCGACCCTCCCTCCCCTTCTCCATTTAGACCCAGGAGCCCCAGGACTGACTGCATTATTCTTTGTTTCCCTAAACTCTAAATAAACCTGCAATAGTCCCTTTATTAAATTCTCTGCTAAGAATCTGTCATCAGTTTCCTACTGGGCCCCTGGCTGATAGAGGCATAATAATATTATCTAATAACAAAATAAGGATTAAATTAAAAAGGGTACATAAAGCATTTAGCCTGGTTCATAGCAAGTGCTCAATAAATATTACCTATTGTTATGATGATTGGGCTTTTTATCTTCTTATCAGTTCTGTCCTACTTGATTCCATAAATGCAGATTATCAGCTGACGATAAATTTCTCCTCCAAGCCCTTTATTAGGGATTTTGAATAAATGTGTATTTTCCGCCTAGTAATTTTCTCATGAAGGATGACATTTTGTTTTGCGACCCTAAGAATCCCAAAGGACTTTCAAAGGAGAGCAAATTTCAAAGTCACAGGGACACCAAGTCTTTTTCACGGTCATGTCTCAGTGTTGGTGGCAGTCTGGGAACAACCGGGGAGGCTTCCAAAAATTCAACACCAGTGGGAAAGGAGCGTGGCTTCTGAACGCCTTGAGGATTTTCCTAATGGCAAATGTTTGGAGCGATAAGCAAGATAAACGATTACAGCCGAGGAAACACTTCTCGGGGTGACAGTTGGAAGCCCTCTTGTGACACATCGACGCTGAGATTCCCAATTCTAGTTCAGCATCCCATGGGTTCTAGAAGTTTGAAGAACAGAATGTGTCAAATACATGCTGGGGCTGGAGAAGGAAGTGGCGTCCCCGGCCCGTGCCTCGCTCCTCGACAGTTACAAGAACCCAAGTTCCCCTTCTTCCCTCCCCTCCCCACAGAACGGGCGGAGGGAGCTCGCCCGACGGCTAACCCCACAGACCCGACGCGGAGCTACGCTGCCCTTAATGATACGTCTTTCCTGGCAATCTTGCTGTCCTCGGTAAAATGGCTTTAGGCGACTTAAAAGCCTTCTAATGTCCCCACATGCGTCTTTCCTTTTTCTTCCAAAGAAGGGCACCGCTCGGTCACCCGCTCCATAGCCACAGAACAAGGAGCAGTTACATCAGTAGTACCAGCCGAACGGGTACTTTAGGGCCCGACCCACCTTCTTCACTCGGATTCCATCCCCTATTTCAAAAGCTAACTTGCTCACTGTCGGAGCTACTACTGCCTCCCCGCCTGCTTCCGCCAGCCGCGCCGGGTTTGGGGCGGGACGCCCGGATTCCCTTCAGGCCCGAGCTTCCCTGCTGCTCTGAAATTGGGTTATAGGTTTTTCTAAAAACACCAGCCTTCTGGTTGAGGAGCCGAGGAGGGCCTGAATCGGCTTTTCTGTTTCCTAAAAGATTCGGCGTTCCCACACCGGGAGTCGAACCCGGGCCGCCTGGGTGAAAACCAGGAATCCTAACCGCTAGACCATGTGGGAGACAACGGAGGAAGTCGTAAGCCTTGGTAAATTGAGTCGTTCCCAGCGGCTTCCGCCCGCCGCCTCCCCTGTCCTCCGGCGTCAGACCTGCTTCTGCTTCTGCGCCTGCGGGGATCCGGTGGCGCCCTTAACCCCTTGCGGGCCCCCGCTCTGCTCAGCTCCTTGCCAAGGGCCGCGGAATCTTTCCACCCTCGCGTCCTTTGTGAGCTCATCCAGTCCCCTGGTTCTAGACACCACGTCTCCACCCGAGTCGATTGGATGAGTCATTGTTCCTAATTCCGCACAGGAAGTCCCGCAGAGTGCGAAAGGACTGGTGTTGAGGGTTAGACTCGGGAAGAAGAAACCGGTGCGGGGGGAGTCTCACGCCGCCACAGCGGAGGCCAGCCTGGAGCGGGTGTCCCAGCCGCGGGGCAGCCGCTCGGAGCCCGCCGCGCCCGGCCTCCGCCCCGCCGGGGCCTCCGCGTCTGGACCCGCTGCGCGCCGGCGCCCCCGGGCCGGGCTCTGCCCGCCTGCCGCCCCGCGTCGCCTCGCCGCGCGGCTCGCGCTGGGCCCGGCCCGGGAAAGTTTCTCTGTCCTCTCCAGAAACGAGAGCGGGGGCTGCCTGGAAGCCCGCAGCATTCCAGGTTCTGTTGACTCCACGGCAAAAGGCAGGATCTGTGTCACCCGCAGTAGGCGATGGTGGTTTGTAAGAGTAGCTTATAAACCTGGAGCAAGCCCCCTCCTGCAAGCAGTGTTGGTGGTGGAAATTCTTGGTGGTTTCCAAACCCGTGCTGGGGTTGAAGGAGCATTTCATTGGGAGCAGTTTACGCCTTAGCGATCTAGTGTTTGGACTAGGCAAGTACAAAGAGTCAGTTATTCGGGATAGCCGGGGTGGGAGAGCTATGGTTCTGGTGTCCTCGTTGTGGCTTAGGCTACGCACAAGTTGTTTTTGCTAGCGGCGGACTCTTGGGAGCCCACTGAAAAACCCACTCCCCACCTGCCAAAGGAACGGTGCAAGTCCTGGCTCTCCCCCGAACTAACTGAGGCCCTCCGAGGCTTCAGTTGTGACATTCAGCAGCAAGAGGGGAGGGGCGACCAGAGACCCGAAAGAGAAACTATTCTGCCTAGCATTTATTAACCCAGATGAAGCTCCCTCGCAGGGAATGAGCATACCCCAACATCACTGGAACTTCATGAAGCTCCGAAGAAAAACTAGAACCTACTGACTGCAAATCTACTATCGGTATTAGACACATTCAAATATGTCTGCTCACTTAATCCTCACATTATACCTGTGAGATAGGTCTTATCCCAATCTTTGGTGGTCCTTCCTGTACTATCTTTGCATCTTTGAACAGTTTCATTGGTTTGTTTTTTAATCAGTGAGACAGTTGTCTTCCTATGGGGGACATCTGGGAACGCTAAAGAAAAGTCTCCAAAACAAGCCTCATCAATTACAGAATACCTTACATCCTGTGGTTCTCAATTAATGGCCATGATTTCTCATGTACCTTTCAGTTCTGTATTTCCATTTGATGATAATCTTTTTTTTTTTTTTTAATTTATTTATTGGAGAGTGAGAGAGTGAGCACGAGCAGGGAGAGGGGCAGAGAGAGAGGGAGAAGCAGACTCCCCGCTCAGTGGGGAGCCAGACGGATGTGGAGCTCCATCCCAGGACACCGAGATCATGACCCTAGCCTAAGGCAGATGCTTAACCGACTGAGCCACCCAGGGGCCCCAGTGATAATCGTTTAAAAAGTAACTTGCAAGTTTTTAAGATAAAAGTTCCCAGTGTAACCCATGCATTGAACAGGCACCATCTTTAGGATATAACCAAAATGCAGTTTTATTTTTGTCTCTTTCTGTCCCCAAACTGAAATCTGTTCAGTTTTTCCCCCTGCCACTGGGTGAAAACTTGGGCAGTAATGGGAAGCCCTATGAGCACTTTAAATAATAAAGCGCAGTGCAGGACAATATGCTTTTCAACAATCAATCTTCATTTCTAAATAGTTCTGCCCCTTCGTCCCAGCTGGAGCATGATTTCAGGCTAGGAACGCTGGTGGGCTTCTTCCCACTCTGTGTTCAGTGACATCAATCACATGGGTAGCCTGTAGCCTGGGATGGCCATGCTGGGAGTGTGACCACCACAGGAATAGGCAAATGCTGCAAGCATGGCTTTTTACCTTGAGAGCTGGTCTGCTGCTTAAAAAACAGTGGTGCACTGGTTAAATATTTACCCACAGAACACCGGGCCAAGGTCTACTGTCAAGGGAACAGGGTGTGATCCACTTCTTATTTCACTTTCTTTGGCCTTCTTCCTTTTGAGACTCCAAGGCCCTCCAAGACTGGAGTGTAGGGAGGGCAAGAGAATGGAGAAGTGAAAGTTCCTACTGGACTGGTACTATGTCAAAAGTTGGCTACCTGCCTTCTGGGCCTGAATGTGTTCTAAAGCTGACTCTCTTTCTCAGTGGTTCTCTGTGGCTTCACCCGAGGCTTCCGTGCTTGGGGTCCTTAGACAGTGTTCCAACCAGGAGGCCAGCCATGTTCTCCCAGTGTGGGTCTTTCACCACTGGTCCCAGGATCACCAGTGGCGGAGTTTAACTGCAGATTCCCATCCCCACGCAGAACTTCGACACGAGAATTTCTGGGAGCAGGGGCCTGGGAGACTGAATTTTAACAAGGCCCCCACCCCCTGCAATGATTCTAATGCCACTAGAGTTTGAGAAACACTGAATGACATAACTGTAAGTTCCCTAAAACTGTAAGTCTCTAAAAGACGATGATCCCTAAAAGTCCATCATTTCCCTTTCCTGCTCAAAAACCTGGAAAAAAAAAAAAAAAAAGGCTTGTAGTTGCCTACTGAGTATGTGAAAAGTGAAATGAAATGGGGTCACTTATGTCAAGGGGCTTTAAAATGGAGCCAGGAGGCCATTAAGGAGATGGGCTTTATGCACATCCTCATTGGTGGAACCACACACTTTTGAACTGAGCCAAACTGCAAATATTCCAAGGGCTGAGCCCCAACACCCACAAAACTTGCTACCATAAGAGAGTTTGTTTAGTGATAGACTTAGCAACCAATTATATTCTGTTAAGACTAGCTTTCTGCCACCAACACCAATCAAAAATTTTTTATGAACAATGCATACAAGCATTCCATTTTTGCTTTAAAAATCCCCGATTTTTGCCCCCTAGTGGGACACAATTTGGGTTGTTACCCAAGTCTGTGTACCCTGAATTGCAATTCTTTGATCCCAAATAAAACACTCTTGCTTAATTGTTGCCTCCTGACAATTTTAGATTGACAGGTAAAAATCTAAATTCCCTGGCCAAGCCTTCCATGCTTTCCATAATCCAACCGTCCCATACCCTGCTAATATTATCCTCCCGTGCCCCTCTTCAGAGACCACATTCCAAATCACCCTCTATGCTCCATCCTGCTTGTCCCACATGCTTTCCCGCCCTGATCCCTTCGCTCTGTGTACTGCCCCCCACCCACTCTTCTTTCCAAATCTGACCCCAACTCCAAGGCCAGCTCACCCCCATGAAGCCGCCTTGGGTCCTCCTGGTCACAAGTCACTCCCGTTTCCTCTGCATCCCAAAGCACAGGCCTTTAAAAAGTGGTGACATGGGCTAAAATGCCTTGCCATCCTTATTATTTGAGTTATTTAATAGGAAAGTCCATGAATAAAAATTGGACTCCATAATCCCCCTGGGAACCCAGTCCTGCACTCAATCATTCTACCAAATAGTCCTTCCTTTTAACCAACTTAAATACTTCCTGCTGTACTTCTATGTGAAAGCTGCCCCCTTTTAACCACCAGCATGAACAAAATGTTCCTGGGAGGAGGAAAAAAAAAAAACAACACAAATTTTTGAAGTTTAGCCAGACCAGTAAGTGAGCTGCATTTCTTTAGTTCTGCACACACACAAAAAAAGCCTCCTTGTTGACACAAGGAACAGCTACTCCTGTTCCCATGCATCTAAGGCCGCCTCATTTGATACTGGGAAAAAGCCCCAAACATATTGTACTTGCTGGGCATCTATATTAGCCAAAGCACTGGGTGCGATTCAGGTCCCCGCCTGCCAGTCATTTAGGAGTTGGGATGGTTTCTATTTCAGTGGGCCCAGAAGTCACCCTTTCTAAGGGCACTGAAAATAAGCACCAATTAAATTCTGCTCTCCCAGGGAGAGCTCTGGCCAGCACAGACCCAGCCTATGGCACGAAGTTAACCTCCAAGCTCTTTTGGGTAACAGCACCTGCCCCTGCTGACCAGTTGGGGTGAGTTAATCTTCATGGCCTAACACTAGGTTCAGTTTCTAAAATTGGATCTGAGCTCAGGAGGCCCCTGGGATGACAGAGTTTCCTCAGGGCTAGTTTAAATTATATAACTCTGCCCCTTCACTTCTACCCGAAATCTAGCAACTCCTACTCATCCTATGACTCAGGGCAAATACCCTTGAACTCCTGAAAATGGGTTAGCTGCTGTTCTGTGCATGCACCCCATTAAATCATGAGGCTGGACGAACTCACTGCTTCCCTCTCTGTGGTGGTCTATAAACTCCTGATGGCAGAGTCCGGTTCTTATTCTGTCGTATTCCCAGCTTCTAGCACAGTGCTTGGCACATAGAACCATTTACTGAATGAATCAGTCTCCTAAAATATCTTTGTTTCTTTGGGGACCCTCGTATGAAGGTTACTTTTTTCCTCAAATCAACAAATAACAGGAAGAAACTATTCTTCTGTCAGGAACAAATAATCTCTACAACATGGTTATCTTTCCTGATACTCAGTCAGTGTTGGAGTGGTTGCTTACTTGATTCATTTATTCATTCAGTAATCAGTGAGTCCCAGAGGAATTGTCTTGGTTTTCATGTGGCACGTCAATGGCAAGGTGACTAAAGGTCTCAAGGGGACCATAATTTCAACATCTGAGCAACTACAGCATAGAACAAGAAACCACATCGCTTTCTGCTAATATCCTTCCCCACCTCACAGATACTCTCTTCTTCTCCTAATACCTTCCTTTCATCTGCTCTGCTCACAGAAGACGGGGAGAGCCTTGGCAGACCGTCCTCATACTCCCCTGGATGTGTCCTCC